GGGGGGGACTGTGGTGCCAGCCCCTCGAGGGAGGGGGTGAAGGACGGAGTGAGAGGAGTGGCCAGGCAGTGGTCAGCGGTCACCACAGCTCTCCCGCCTCCACTGCCTTCTGTGCCTGCTGCCGCTACAGTCCCCGCTGCCCGGCGCGGGCGCCACACGTGGCATTATAGAGAGTAGGTGCCCAGCCCCCTGCCCCCTCGTTGAGGAGGGGGAGGGGGAGGGGTCGCCAGTTTGGGGAGGGCGGGGGAGGGCTGGGGAAATGATGGCACCGACCAGACACCAAGAAACCGGACCTGCAGCAGCGTCTCCCCATGCAGCTCTGAGCCACAGCAGTGGCTGCGACAGAGATGGGGGGGGGAGCAGTGAAAGGGGGAGGGGGGAGGCCCTTAAAGAGACAGCAGCTGCGGCACAGGGGGCTGCTGGGGACTAGGGCCCAGGGGAGGGTGGGCTCTGTTCTTGGGGTGGCAAGTGGCCCACAGCTCCTGACCAGCTAGGAGGGGGCTCGAAGCCTCACATACGCCTGACCCTGTTTTTTTTCATCAGCACTTTGGAAATGCCTGGCATGTCCTCTGCCAGCATCTCCAGCAGGTTCTCCACTGTGGCCTGGGGGTGGGGGGGACAGATACCACTGCATAGACATCCAGTTTGGCCTAGGAGAGGGGGACCCCAAGGGAGGGAGTAACAGCTTGCTGAAGATGATAATGGACGGGAAGGAAAACACCCTCAAACTCAGAATCCCCTCACTGCCTGCTTTACCCCCACCTGAGGTGCCACATGTCTACCCCTGACTCTTTAGCATCCTGTCTCATTTTCTTATCTAACAACACTGAGGTAGCTGTGCCCATCCCCTTCTTATAGGCCACAAAGGGGTCTTGAAGCACTAAGTGATCATCCCCAAGGTCACACAGTTAAGAAATGGCAGGAACCCACTCACGTTAGGGTTCAGTGACAAGGAGAATGGAGAAACTCTGCCTTTCAGGAGACCCTCTTTAGCAGGAGGATTCCCCTGGGCCTGCTCTCCAGGTGGCTTGTTCTTCCCCAGCCTTCTCTAAGCACCAGCCACTATCTTTTCCCAGGTTTATTGGGCGGGCTCCTGGCTCTCTTCCCTCCACTTCCCAGGACATCCCAGTTTCAGAGTGGGACAGTTGTGTTCAAGACAGGATGGCAGAATCCCAGGGGTTGGTTCAAGTTCCTCACTCAACCATGCCAAAACAGACCTCGGTGGGAGTTGATCCAGGGTCACACTAGGTCAGAAGCCCCTGGGATTCTGCCATCCTGTCTTGAACACAACTATCCTATGATGTGGGGCCTACTACCCAAAGTGTCCTTTGGTCTCCAGGCCTACTTGTAAGATGTACATTTATAACCACCATACAACGTCTTTCCCTCCTCAAAGCCCACTCTCCAGCTACTTTCCAAGAGAGGCAAGGGGCCAGGATTTGCAATTTTGTGCTGCCCTCTGGTGGCATGGTGTAGGAACAAATTCCCCAGCTGTCTTGAGTCTTTAGGCTGAGGGAATTAGAGACAATTTTAGAGCCTATAATGGCTCTAGAGTCCTGAACACAAGGGTTCACTTAAAGGGAAAAGGAAGGTACCCAGCTTCCTGAGTACTTACTATATACTGGGCACTGTGTGAAGTCATTTATGTTGGTTCTTATTTTATCCTCCTAGGTGGTGAACTGAGAGGTTAAAAAACAACACAATTAAAAAAAAAAAAAATAACTAAAAGAATACAACTCGCCAAAGGCAGTTGTTGTTAAGTGCCAACTCACAGCGACCCTGTATAGGGTTTCCAAGAAACTGCTGGTGAGTTTGAAACACCGACCTTGTGATTCAAACCAACCTTGCTAACCAGTGCATAATCCTACAACACTACACCAGGATTCTTGCCTAAGGCAATATAGCTATGAAAATTGATAAAGCAGTATTTTAAACCCAGGTCAGTATGGTTCCCAATCCAAAGATGTACAAAACTACAAAAATATACTGACTGAGGAAACATTGGGCCACCATCTTTACTTGAAGACCACAAAATTGGTTAAGGAATGGAGGCTTCACTTTTTATGGATTAAAACAGTTTAGAGACAGGAGTTTTGTTTTGTTTTTCTACCAGTAAATTCTGTCCACTTTCTATCTTTGTCGAGGTGTTTGGTAATAGACAAAAATCCTCACCACTGGACCAATAAACAACATCCAGATAAGTGGAGAAAAGACTGAAGTTGTCAACAACAATTAGGAAAATCTGCTGCACAAGACCTCCTTAAAGTGCTCAGAGTAAAGATGTCAGTTTGAGGACTAAAGTGCGCCTGACCCAAGGCATGGTATTTTCAGTAACCTCATATGTATGCGAAAGTTGGGCAGTGAATAAGGAAGACACAGAAGAATTGAAGCATTTGAGTTATGGTGTTGAAGGAAACTATTGAAAGTGCCAGGGACTGCCCAAAGAACCAGTAGCTCCATTTTGGAAGAAGTGCAGCCACAGTGCTCCTTGGAGGCCAAGATGGCCAAAGTTTGTCTCTCATACTTCGGACATGTTGTCAGGAGGGACCAGTTGCTGTAGAAGGATATCATGTTTGGTAAGGTGGCGGGTCAGAGAAAAAGAGGAAGACCCCCAACAAGAAGGATTGGCCAAGTGGCAGCATCGATGGACTCAAGCGTGCCAACAGTAGTGCTGTTGGCCTAGGATCGGGCAGTGTTTCGTTCTGCTGTGCATAAGGTCGCTATGAGTCGGTACCAACTCCATGGCACCTAACAACAACAACAGGGGTGGAAGAAAGGCCCTGGTAGCATAGTGGTTACGAGTTGGTCTGCTAACTGCAAGGTCAGCAGTTCGAATCTACCAGCCACTCCAAAGGAGAAAGATGAGGCTTTTTGCTCCTGTAAAGATTTACAGCCTCAGAAACCTTATACAGGAATGCTATGAGTCAGAACCACAGAACACAGCCACCACCAATGGGGTGGGAGAGAGGGGGTAAGGGGAAGCATTTGCTTATAATACGGAAAAAGATAGCAAGAATTGAATCGTTGCACAATTTGAAACAGTGAAGGTTGCTGAATGTAATTAATGTCACTGAATTGTAAATGCAGAAATTGTTGAATGGGTGTTCTGTTGTATATATTTTCAGCACAATATTTAGGCAAACAGAACTTATTTCTCCTCTCAACACAAGCTCTGCTTTCTCCAGTAATGCCCATGCCATTTACCACCTGAAAGGAAGACACCAGCTCCACTAGGCCAGCCCCAGGAAGGACACCCACACCCTGGTTCTCTTACTTGGATGCCACCAAAACAGCCTCTTGTCTCTCCATCCGCAGGTTGACATGTTTTTGCAGGCCCCAGCGTAGGGCAGTGAAGCACAATGGGAAGAAGATACAGCCTAGTACAAAAAGCAGGGTCATGCCTGTCTAGGGTAGAGAAGTGAAGACAGCAAAGGGAAACATCTCAACACAACATCCTTCAGACTCAGAGACTCTCCCCACCAGCCTCCTTCTCCCCCAGTAACTTCAGTGGCCCATAGACCCACCCCTCGGTAACCATCAAAACCCAGCATCACTCTTCTCCAATCTCCCTCAGATCTATTGCACCTGAACTATCCTTCATCCAGGGTAATCAGACATCTAATTTTTGTTACAAACCCAGTTCCAACGTTTTGATTCATTTCCCCCATGACTCCCCCAAGTGGTCTACAACCAGTCTATTTCATACCTTAAAATATTTGTCTCACCTTCAACCCTGAGGAAGCACCTGTTGGATCTTAACTCCACCATGCCATTCTCTGACCCCTCCTCCCCCAGCCTCTCCCATCCTCAAACTTCTCACAGGACTTGACCTCTGAGGGGCAAGGAGAGAGGGTGGAGAGGGGAGAGGGGAGGTGATCTTTCTCCTCAGCAGCCCAAACTCAAAGGAGTTTTAAATATTTTTAAAATATTTAAAATTGGAAAACATTTTTAAAACGAAGCGCCAAAACAATTATACCTTGTTTAAAAAGGAGAAACCCTGAAAACATATATCTACAAACATATTATTTTTTTATCTGGAAAAGCCACTTCTCCTTTCACCCAGGGAAGGGAGGAATAGGGAAAGCCCAAGGAGGGATGCAGGGAGCCCGGGCCTGCCATCCTGCACCCCTCCGGGTGCCTAGAAGGTGTCAAACTGCAAGGGCACGAGACTGACTCTACTGAGGCAGTTGGAGAGAGTGGGAATATCACTCTCCCATTGGCGGACTGTTTGAATTATATCATCTTTCCATTGGCCAACCTCTTGACAGACACGCCCTATCATTGGCTTCCTGTTGAACGGCTCTGGCTAGAGTGTGGGTGGGGACTTGTACCGTTGCGCAGAATTGGTCAATTAGAATTCGTTTCTGGCTTGATGGACAGTTCCATTTCAGGGGCGGAGCTGAAAGAGGGGCAACATAAAAAGATCCGAATAGCTGTGGAAGTTTTTGTTGTTTAAAAAGGCAATATAAACAAGATAAAGCAGCTCTGGTAGCGTAGTGGTTACGAATCGGGCTGTGAACAGCAAGGTCAGCAGTTCG